TTCCCCACCCTGATTTGAAGGAGCTCTATTGCTAGTGGAAGAAAAAAGTGAAAAGAATAACTATAAAAGAGCACATCTCCTCCTCAGACCATTAGCATACACGTAAGTGTTCTCCAAGGCTTGAAAAGGAATGCCCCAAAACGCTGGGAACTTGGCTCTTTGTTACAGAACTAGTAAAACTCTTGTGTGAGAAAAGATATCTGAGAATAAAAGATGAAGCAAATTTTTACTTATCATAACAAAGCCCTCTGAGCAGGTAGCTGAGTGCTGAGATTCATAACAGCTAGAGGAAATGGGTTCTTACTTGTATAATTATTGATTATTTTGGTCAGCAATCACTGGATTGAACTAGAAGAAACACTTGGGATACATTTCAATGCTCCCTGTTTGCAGATAAAAAGCCTTCTCTACTTCTTCCCTGTCCTAAGCCTACAAGAAAAGTATATTGTTTCATGTATTAAACCTCTTCATCATTTAAGGGAATGCAAGGCAGCTGATTGAGTTGTTGCCTCATCAATACAGTCCAGCCTGTGAGAGCTTCCCTTGCCTTACTCAAGAAGGGGGAACTGGAAACAGATAGGAAGAAAAGTATATTCAGGAGAGCAGGAAAAGTCTTCTTTTTTTCCTCTCCAGCTGGCAGTATCTAAATGTTATCCAACTGCATCACAATGGCCCCGTGCTGTTCCCCATGCACCACAATGTCACCACTGGCACTCATGCTGCTGCTCCTCCCTCCCAACCTTCTCCCCATCCATGACACATTATCAGCACAGGAACACTCAGGTACACTTCCATCCATACAGATGACACACACCTCGCACATTAACAAACACACCATTGCCCAGTAACTTCGCAAAACACCAGACTTTACAGATAATATTCGTGCTGTGTACCAACCTAAAGCAGCCTATGCCACTTACCTGGCTGTTTCTGTGATTCCTTTCATCAGACTCATTCCTCATTTAAGAACACCCTTGAGCAGCTCAAGAAATACATTATAAATAAATGCTGCCAGGAACCATGCAGGCCACTTCAGAATGTCCTTTCCTAAACCATCCACTCCACTAAACTGGCTGGTTTTATTTTTTTAAAACACAAAGTCTTTTACAATTAACCAATTAGGTGGGGTTGTTAGGGAGGTTCATTAAAACAAGCTGGGATTTTTTAAGCAAATTGCTGATTGGAAACAGCTGCTATTTTTCAACAGCGAGAATTTGTTTAGAAGATTTTTCAACTTAAAGCAATGCTGAAGGAAATGTATAATTTCTCAAGGCATTCATTTTTTAAAATAAAATTCTCAGGGTGAGGAAATAAAAATTAATTTTCATATTGACAGCTAAGTAAGAGTAATAGTAAATGAAAGTGCAAACATCAACACAAAATTCTTCTAAATGATCTAAATGCAAATTTTTCATAAACCCTAAGCATTTGCTTCTCCGCCCCATACTCATGCACCCATTTTTTGACTTGGGGAAAAAAAAAAAAAAAAAGAAAAATTCAGCTATACAATCAAATTCAACAATCTGATATCTCTCAGATGCTTTGGGGCACGTTGAGCTAAGAAACAAATTCATTCGAGGGAAGAGCTGCAGCATGCCGCTAGAAAATCCTGGAAAGTCCCACCCACCAGCAGGCCTGGGGTTTGTAGGTACTCGTTTTCCTCCAGCCCCCGCGGGGCAGGAGGGCCAGTGCATCATGCAGGAGGAACAACCATCCCGCCTCCGAGCCACCTGCCTCCCAGGGAGCACTGGAAGTGCAGCAGCAGAGAAATGCAAGAATCCTGAGCCACCAAAACGAGGAAACATAGTGATCAGGGGATTAAAAAAAAAAAAAAAAAAATCCTCTGTGCAGGACTTGGAGCATCCAACCTAGGGGGGAAGGAGCAAAGGCTGAGCTGTGCCAAAGGCCCCGAGGCCAGGCAGGCAGGGGACAGGCAGCGCTTGGCATCCCGCTGGCAGGGCGCGGGGGAGGCGGGCTGCGCTGGCCGCTTGCACCGCCGACCCGTGGCTCTGCTGCCAGGCTCAGCTGCGCTTCCTCCCGCACCCCCAGCGCCTGCTGTTCAGCCCTTCTCCCCCGCCCTGGGGCTCTGCGAGAGCGCACAAAGACAAGGAGCTGCTTTTGCGGTCACCGGCACACCCCCAAGTGGACAGCGAGGAAAGGGGGAGAGAGGGCACGGACGAGCTTGGGGTGGCTCTGGAGGTGCAGGCTCAGCCGTCTGGCTCCGGAGGGATGCGCGCACAAAGGTCTTGGCGGGGTTCTGACCGGGGTCGCTGCCTGTCAAAGCCAATGCTGCCGTTTCCTGGGGGAAGAGCTCCAAAGAGTTGTGCTCAGCAGGGTTAGAGAAGCGTTCAAGGCTTGTTACCACGGCTTTCAGTGAAAAACAATTAATTTAAAATAAATATTGTGGGGAGAATGTGTTTGTTTGTTGGGTCTTTTTAAAGGTACAATATTTTCCCACCCCTTTTTAACTCCGTCAGATATCTTCAGGCTTGTTTCAGGCAGCGCCCTACTCCTCCCATGCAGCCCCAGTGTTTCTGCCTCCCCATTCTCTCACTCTTCACATCGGAGAAAGGAAATTACCGCTGGCTATAAAACTAGATCCAGTGCTCTGGTTTATATCATGCCAGAAGTTTGGGAGCAGTCAAAAAAGCAGCTCCAGGTTTGCAAACACTCATACAACATCACACCATCTTATCCCATCACAAAATCTAGGGAAGGCAGCTGTGTTGCCTCTAACCTTTTAGAGGATACATGATAATACAGACCTGAAAAGACCTTCCCTGAAGCCTTCAAAATGAGAATAGATGTGGCTGATACTACAGGGACAATACTAACTCACTAAAACAGAAGGTAAAAGCCTGTCCATGCCCGTAGTCTGGCATAAGCTCCAGGTATAAGGACGGACTAAAACAGCTCCTGGCTGTGCTGGCATCAGGATGCTCTGGTCACAACTCAGGGAAGGCTTGTGACTTGAAAGCACTGTGTGGAGCAGTGGTCTCCAGGCTAGGAAATGTGCATCAGAAAGGCAATGCTCAGAGTCAACGTGACTTGCCAATGTCCATCTTTCTTGACGGTTCTCTGACTAATCTTCCAGAGCAGGACAAAGTTCCTGCCAAGCTACACAACTTCATTGCTGACGTTATCTTCTTATGCTACACAGGTACTGCTTCTCCTCTTACCCCATGTACAACCTATATGCAGAGAATAATCCTCCTTCCCTGTCAGAAATAGCCACTTCACAGCAAGGAAGGAAGTCAGCTGGAAGGTGCTGGTGTTGGATTCACAGTCCAGACTTCAGAGAATGTAAATTGAGAGAAAATATGTGACAGTGAAAAGCATGCGTACGAGACCCAGAAATGGGAAAAGTGAAACTGTATGAAAAGGAGCACTCAGCAAATGTGAGAAGGTGGCAAAAAACGAAGGATTCCATAGTGAGGGTTTGCAGGAGTGACAGGTGTGAGGCTGCAATAGAAAGTGTGTGTGTGACAGGAAGCCTGCCTGTACGGGAATTTGCTTAGTAGACACAAAATAGAAGAGAACAGTACATGCAAGACTGTGTGTAAAAGTAGGAGCTAAGGGGAAGTGAGGAAGCCGTGACTGGCATACCTCCATGCACAGCACTCCTGCACTAATGTGTACAGGAGTGAGAAAAAAGCACTGTGAAAAAAGCCGTGTGCGAGTGAGATATGCACTAAGGGTGCAGCTCACCATGAATGTAAGACTGAGGCACAGTGTAGGCCAGATAGAGTACATCTATGTTCTTTAGTTAGATTTTCTCCTATGTGTGTGTATATGTGTGCACACAGGCTTACAAGGCTAGTGCAGCAGGACAGGCAAGGGATTTTAATATGCAAGCAACCTCGAACACTAATGCTCAGGATGAAGGCTTGAAGGAGGGACTGGGGGAAAGGGAAAAGGAGAATGTGAGCACAAGCGAAGCAGACTCTCCAGGAATTGCATGTGCTAGGGAGCTAGAACTGTATGTGCCAGAGTGAGTTTATTCATCTTCCCTGCTATATCCCTGAGAGAGAGAGAGAGAGAGAGAGTGTGTGTGTGTGTGTGTGTGTGTGTGTGTGTGTGTGTGTGTGTGTGTGTGTGTTCAGGAAGGACCACTGATGTGTGTGAGTGAGTATGGATCATGCACAAGCTGCAGTTTTGAAGGCTATGATTATATGTACATGTGTGACATGTATTAATACATACAGCATGGAATGCATTAACCCTTAACTCCTGTTTACAGAAAGCATCTCAAAACCAGCTAGCATGCCTGTCATCACTTCGAACTAAATTCCATACTCACACTTGGCTCTTAAAGCAAGAAACCCAGCTGGCAATTCTCCACTGAACAAAACCCCATACCCAACAAATTTTCATCTCCTGTCTTTCCTCCATCACTCTCTTTCTCTTTTTTTTTTTTTTTCTTTTTCCCTCTCCTGGTATAGAGGGGAAGGACATAGTGTTTTCGCAGACAGACAAGAGGCATAGAGATTCCTCTAACCTCCCCCTCTCTGGACAAAACCAAAATAAAAATAATTAAAAAACTGCAAAACAAACCAACAAACCAACCAAACAAACAAAAAAACCCAAAAGAAACTTAACACTTATCTCCTTAGGAAGGTAAAGAATTGAGCAGAATCAGTACTTGTGACCCAAAGTGCTGAGAAACAGCGGCTGTGGATGGAGGGGATACCCACATTCACCCACCACTCTTTTCCATTGCAAATCTAAACTGTATTCCCCCCGCCAAGTCCCCCTCTGCAAAAGCATAAATACAGCAGCAAAGTCAGTCACATGCAGTGTCCTCTAACCATAGGATTCACCAGCAGCGATCTCTCCTTGGCTTATTTCCTGAGGCAAGGAGGGGGGGAAGGTTTGGAGGGGAAAAGGGGGGGAGAGGAAGCTCCAGCTTCCAGCTCCATGTTTCAGGCCATCCTCAGTCCATCAGCCTCAATTAAAGCAGAAGGGTTTGAGGAGGTTGCAAGAAAGAACTCACCACATACCTTGCAAGGAGAAGAGGGACAGGAAGAATCCCAGCACCCAGATACTGTGCAGCCAGTAGGTCCTCATGCTTCTCTCTCACTTGCTCCGCTTCCGCTGCCTTTTTCTCCGTCTCTTCGCTTCTGTCTCTCTCTCTCTCTCAATTTATCTTTTTTTTTTTCCTCCTTCTTCTCTCCTCTCAAAGAAAATGGGTTTCGTGTCTCCCTTCAGTCCCTCTGGGCTCTGCTTTGCCAGCTCTGACAATCCAGTCGCAGCACAAGCTGACCCACGGTGGCCAGATTCCCAAATAACCTCTCACTCTCCCCTTCAAGTGCTGGAGAAAGGGGGGGCCAGGTTGGATGCTCCACCGTAGCCTGGGCTGGCTGTAAACACAGAGAATCTCTCTGTCTCTCTCCTGCAGCTCCAACTAAATGCGACTGTACTTAAACAAGCAATGCCTTATAGGACAGCGCTCAGAGCAGAACAGATCCCACCTCTGCCACCTAGTGTTGCAAGCCAGCTCATTTATTTCATTTTTATAGATATAAATATATATATACATTATGCTATAGAAATATGGTTCCCTCATTCCTCTACAAATGTATCTCTTGGATCACAGTCTATGAGCCATTCCGGGCTCAAGAGTCCCTGAGGTTCCAGCTCCAGTGCACACAGGGAGGTTATTCAGCAAAAGAATATTCCTCATTGCCACAGCAAGAGACACGGCAGTGCAGGTTTGGTTTCTCAGCAGAGTTCTGCTTGACAAATTCTGAAGCAAGGGTCTCTCTGATGCTGGTGTCACTGCCGGGCAGTACACAAGGGCCAGAGGGAGATTCAGACGCACCGTCTGTAATTACAGAGCTGCCAAGTCCTCCAGGAAAAAATAGCAAGCATCAGTCTGCATTAATCTTTGCTGGATCTCCTGTGACTTCTATGCAATTTCAGAGGACCAGAAAGAATCCTTCTGTAATGGAAATCCAGCTTGAAAAGCAACCATTTGCTCACACAAGGCTTCTCCTGCTACCCTTCCTTCAAATACAAGTTCCTCCTGCCATATGTAGCATAAACTTTTTTTTTTTTCCAAAGAGTAATTGGCTCATGTAGCTCTATTTCCTCCTAAAATCATTGCTCCAGTTAGAGGAACCCCAGTAACAAAGTATTGCTTAACATTCAGGATTTTTTTATCAGTCACTCTCCAGGCATTTCACAAAGGGTGTCCTTTCACAGCTGGGGACATGGAGGCAGTGTGAGTGCACAACGTTGAGGCCAGTCCCTGGGACACAGTGTGACAGCCCAGCTGGACTGCCCAGGCAGCCCTGTGGCCCCTTTTCAGGCCACGTTGTGCCCTTTATTCTGGTCACCAGGCAGCCTATGAGGATGCCAACACTAAAGGAAGCGAATTTTCAATTTTTACATTGAGGGTGTGGGTGAGCAAAGGCGAGTGCCCACATGTAGGAAAGGTCTGTAGGATTCTCATCACTAATGATGCTGTTCCAGAAGTGTTTCTTATTAGACTGCTGTAGAGCAAGCTGTTCTGTGAACAGAGTGCACCAAACCCACCTCCCCATGGGTTCCTGTCTGCTGTCTCAAAAATCCCCCGCTCTAATGAAAGCCAGAACCCATTGTATCCCCTGTGATATCTCCTGTAGGAAGAAGAAATCCCTGATATGGCTAGTCTTGCTTCTTAGTGGACCAAAAGGAAAGACAAAATGGAAGATAGCACTTGCCTTAGCCTACTATTAAATACTTCTCAAGCAGGCATGCTAAAGTTGATGGAGGAACTTTTAACTTTTCCATTACAGATATTTTCAAATTACTGTTATTTAACTGTGCAAATGTAATGTTGCGTTAACAAAAGGCTTAGTGGTTTTTTTACTGTAATAGAAATAGTATTGGAAGCACAGTTGGCCATGCAAATTTTGCAGGGTTTACATAAGAGAATGAGCATTCCTGAAATTGCAAGTTGAGAGAGCTTGGTAAAGTGAGCAGGAGGCAAGAGCCATAGATTACCCAGAAGTGGCTTTTTTGTGTGTTTTAGTGTCCTGTCCTGTATGCCTGCCTCTGACATATGCATATTACTACTTGCTCTATTGAGTGTTCTATCTGTGGGTTTCATGGCTTTGGACTAGTACATCCATGATGAATAGTGCATTTCATCATGATTTAGAAGAGTGTTGTGGCATGTGCTGCATGTGATCTGTGGGAAAGGAGGTGGAAGATGTTCTCTCTGCAAGAAATACTCATTTGTCATGTGGTTCTGTGAAACCCACTACCACCCAAGGTCAAGGACTGCAGTGTCGAGAAATGTGAGCTCTCTTAGAAGGGATGCAAGGGCCCCAAGACCATGATAAATAGTCTCACACCTGATTAAGCTCCTTTCTGTAGACTGAGAAAACAGCATTTGGGCTTCTCATTTGCCTTCAGACAGATATTCAAGAGAAGACAACCCTACATAAACCACACTTTCTACCTGTTCTTTCCCTTCTGTCACTTCATACTCCTCATCCATATTCCCACCTTTTTCCTCTCTCAGCTTCTTGCCACCCACGACTACCCTTCCCATGTCTTTTCTTCTCTACTGTCTTCCTGTGAAACTTATCAAATAAGGCAGTGTGTCTTTTTGAGGCTTCTTGAAGGGGAAGGTTTTCCATCAGGATTCCACAAGACTCCAACCTGAAAGTAGCTTTTTTTATTAAATAAATGCCAGGCCAGCAACTATGGAAGGTTGCATATGACTACGTAGCAGTTCCCTAAGATGAAAATCTATAGAAATAGCCAGCCAATGAGAAAGTAACAGCACTCAAGGAGTGGTGGGAAGAAGGAGGAGATGGAAAGAACCCTCATTTAATTCCAACAACCATGCAATGACGCAGCGGGGACTGAACTGAGAACTCTTGGAGAAGAATGTGTTGCATGAACTCATACAGCACAAATGGCTAAGTTTCTCTAGCAGCAGCCTTAGCAGACCCACCTCTTTTACAAGTTGGGTCACATAAAAGGATACGTCACAAAAAAGCATTTGCCAGCAGTATACATTCACACATTGGCGTTGTCGCATAATTAGAACATTAAATAAATGGCATAACAGATGCTATCAGCATGTCTACCACACTGTATCCATGGTGCCAACTCCTTCTCCAAGGGGAGCCTCACCCAGGCCACGCTGAGAAAGCCTGAAACATGGGCATGTAGAAACCAGCCTTTATGGAAATATACACACAAAGTTCTGCAGAAAGGGCCTCTGCTCTTTCAACATTTGTAAGATTTTATGGGAAATTTGCAAGTGTGAGTGACAACAAGAAGAAAATTGGCTAGCACCCAGAAAAAAAAAAAAAAACACCCAAAAAAACCCAAACTTTGGCAGATAATTTTTTGAGTTGTCATGTTTTTTGTGGGAAAAGAGTCAGCTCTTTCAAGCCGGGAATAAAAATAATAATTCTGTTCAACTCCTTTGAGCAGCAGGGAATTCACAATCCAAAGGGAGAGGTGGTTACACCACAAAATCCCTGCCATAGCCAGTACTAACCAGCTTCCTCAGAGGCCCAAGGAATCTCTCAACACTACAGAGGGCCTTTTAAGAAGTGTTTTTGCAGCCCCCTGGTCTTTAAATCTCCACCAGAGCTTGGCAGCGCAGACCTTTCTCTCTCCCCCTGGGACTTGAGGTGTGTTCCCCCAGGCAGTACTCTACCAGAGCTCTTTCCTACATAGCACCCAGCTTCCCTAGGGCACACTCTGCTCTACCAGAAGCAGCCTTTTATCCCAGCTGCTGCTTTTCAGGTCTTTAGTCACAGCTGGGGGCCTTGTGCTTCCCTCCATTAACGCTCTGTGCCCGCTGGGGAGGAGCTGCTGGAGGTTGCAGCCCAGTTCCCTGACCCACGGTCCCAACAAGTCAAGCACTGGGCTCCCCAGCTGGTACTTCCATCTTCAGGCTATGGCTTGTTGGCTTTGCTAGATAAATTGTGGGTTGACTTCAGAGACAGGACTGCCTTATGCCTAGGCACCCCTGAAACTTGGCCTTTGTTGTTTAGGCAAAGCAGGAAAGGAAATTGTAGCTATTTGCTGCCTGTGCCTGGCTGACTGAGCTCCAGCACATCCACCTGACACAAGAAGGACCCAAATAAATGACTGTCGAATCTGTGCCTATCACCCAAATGAGATAAGGGAGGCAAATGACATCAGTCTCACTGTCTGCAGAGCTGACCTGCACATAGCTGAACAGTGTGACATTTTCTGGACAGAAATACTGAAAAGCAGCACCTTTTCTTATGGGTTTTTTTATTTTTTTTTTTATGTCAGGACATTCATGCTCAGCAGTCTGGAAGGCAGCTGGAGCTGGAGCCATGTGAGCATTCCCACTGCAAGAGTCTCATTGCAATGTTTCACAACATCCTGAAAGTATGAATTCCCAGGCTTATGTTTTTCAGGCCTAGTCTCATGCAGAAGGGTGTATTTTTATGATTTTGTTTTTGTTTTTGAAAGCTTGAGCAAGCAAGGGTTTGGCTGTTTAAGATATTTGAGACTAGGGGAATGTTTTATGATTAGTGGAAGAACCAATTTGTCCCTTTTTTAACAGTTCCAATGCAGAAATTACTGTGGATAGAGACTTGAAAGGTAAATAATGTGAGGCAAGAATTGTAGGAAGTGGTGATATCTTTTATTAAACTGAAAAATATAGATGAAAGAACAAAACAAAACAGGCTTTCCAGGCATATGGGCTTGTATGCCCAGAAGTGTATCCCGACTTCTAACTATATGATGTCAAATAACTGATAGCATTTCTTCCTGCAAATCTCCCCTCATTTATATCTTTACCCTATCCTAGCAACAACATCATGGAAGGGAAGTCAAATCTGTGAGGACATTGCCCAGAAGAGCAGAAAACACACAGACATGGTTCTATTGAGGGGAGTCTTCCTTCAGCTAAAACACAGGTCCCAGAAGATACTTCTTGGTATGACTGACATGAAAATGCTTGGGTTTCAGTAATGTGCAGAGAATAATCTTTGTGTAGGCAGGGCTCCACACATTTCTGTGAATCACTACAGGTCGGCTCTCAAGCCAAATAAAAGCAGTTGAAAGGCTCTCAGTGGCCTCTGATCCAGGTCCCCTCTACAGCAAAGTCACTAGGTCATGGTTTTCCCTTGCCTGCTCTCTATTGAGTGTCTGTGTACCTTCCCCTGCCACTGTTGATCACTTGTGCTGCAGGGGTGATACAGAGCCCTCGTGAGACAAAGGCCTGTTGAGATACATGCTCTGCAACAGGATGCTAAGAAAGTCTCTCAAGCTGTGGACAGCAGGTGCAAAGACAGATAAACACATAGCACTTTGGCCAGAAAAGAGCCTACAAGCCCACCTACTATTTCAAAAAATTGTCTGTGATGCACTTGCAGACTCTCACTCAATGAAAAACATGAGGAGACAGTTTTAAGTTTGCCACTACCTGATCTCTGCTAGCCTTTGCAGTGTTAATAATCTCTGCCACTAGCTTCTTTTTGGAAGCAG